TTTAATTATATCCTGATTAGTAGTTCTTTGATTTTAAAATATAATATATGAATAAATACTAATTATAATTATTAAATTTAGTATGAAATTGATATTTAATAATTTAATATTGTAATTTAAACGGAGAAATTAGAAAAATAATAAAGTTGTACTTTACTTTTACGTGTATAAAAATTTAAAGGGCTTGATACAATAATTTTCAATAAAAACTGTTTGTTACTATAAAAAAATGCACTGGACTACAAGGAACTTTCATCAGAAGCAAAAATATACTTTTCTAAATCAAATTTTCGCGTTGTTTTCAAATCTGCAAGTAGACTATTTCTATCACTTCTAATTTTTTATATTATTACTAATTATATATATAAAATAATAATTAAAAGAAAAAAAAATTTGTTTTCAAATTATTACTGATTTGATTTTTAATATGTTAAAAATAATCAGTCCAAATTTTCAATTTTAACCTATTTTTTTGGTTCTTTAAAATTGATGAAAAATTTTTGATAAAGATTTATGAAAGTTTATAGCAAAAAAAATTGAATATATTACCATAACCTAAATTGTACATTCCCAAACAACAATCATATTATGTCTATTGCCACCGGAATTTCTGGTAATCTTTGTATTTTTCTATGTCTTAATCCCAACTACTTGGGGTCGGCCACACTTATCCTAAGATTCCACTTGACACGATCACCCACATCTTCTACGCTCACATCAGCTGTCCTCAAATCGCATTCAATAGCATCCCTCCATCTCTTTTTTGGTCTTCCTCTATCTCTTCTTCCTTCAACATTCATTTCTATAACTCTTCTTACAGCTTCCAATTCTTCTTTCCTCATACCATGACTAAACAATCTAAGTCTATTTTCTGTCATCTTATCCACGATTGACGCAACACCTATACTTCCTCTTATATGCTCGTTCCTTATCCTATCTTCTCTAGTCACTCCACTCATCCAACTAAGCATTCTCATCTCTGCTACACTTATTCTCTGCTCTACTTTCTTATCAACCGCCCAACACTATGAACCATACATCATAGCTGGCCACACAATTTCATACTAAATTTAAAAACTATAATTAGTATTTATTCATATATTATATTTTAAAATCAAAGAACTACTAATCAGGATATAATTAAAGAAATAAGAGTTCATGTTGCTTTTAAAATATTTCACCAATTTCTCTAAAGGAAACACTATCTACAGATTTGCATCGAAGCGTTTCTTATGATAGTGATTTTAATCACTATCAGATATCATCTATACTTGTCCCATCTATGCCTCGTCCACACTGTGCTACCGTTTTTTAAATATTATTAGTCATATTTAAGATTTCTATTAATCTTACATTAAACCAAGCATGCGTAAGAGTTTCAACTTCTTCACCAGGTATATTTAGTTCAGGGGCATCAAACACAGGTACATTGAAATTGGCAATTAAATCTTCTTTACAGTTTGTGTATCTAAAAAATATATTACTTATAATGAAATAAATAAACATATATAATAAAATTTAATAACAAATTATACAAACTTCATTCTAACATCAGCCCAATATTGTTCTCTAGAATAATTCCAATCTTGAATTTTGGGATCATCATTTGTATAATTATCAAAATCAATGCGTTCTATATCTTCTACAATTATATCAGCATCACCACCTTCAGACCAATCATAAACTAATACTTCAGATTTTAAACTAGCAATAAAAAAAATATTGTAGATTATTTAGTTAATAAATTTTTAGTTTATAGTTAATTTTACTTAATGTCACGCAAAAATTTAGATTTAAATTGATCTTCCATACATTCTAAATATTCGGCATTCATTGCTTTAGAATTAACTTCGTTTGGTTGATTTCTTTTTTTTATTTGTTCCAATATTTTTGATACTGGAACATCCAAGTATATAACTAAATTGGGATGTAGCAAGTCTGGCATAGCATGGCGATACAATGTATAATATATTTTGTAAACCATTTTACTAACATATTTGCATTTATACATAGCTTCTAAAAATACAAAATCACTAAATGGACTACGCTCAATTATAACACCATCACCTGTATTTAGTACATGAGCAATGGCATCAATATAATGGGCATAACGTAATTTAAATTTTATTATTTGAAAAGCTGCAGCATTATAGTGATTAGGACTTTGAAGAAAGTTTTGTTCATCAAAGCTCTGACAGTTTACTGGTAACTGTGAATCTAATTTTCGCATATCATAACCATAGTTATTGATGTAATACGAATCCATGGTAACATCAGGCATAAAATGCATTCCTAATTCATCAGCCAATTGTTTTCCAATTTCAGTTTTACCTGCAGATAGAAATTATTTTAATTATTATTAAAAATTGTAAATGATAAAATTCATAAAGGTTCAGCAATTAATAAACATGGGAAACTTTTTCTCACAAGTTTTCAATTATTAGATAAAATAAAAAGAATCATTTTAACAAATAAATTTTAAACAAAATTTTGACTAGTACATACTTATTAGCTCGCTTAAAGGTAATTGACTTACATGTAAAGAATAAATAAAATATTTTGTGTTTAATATTGTTTCTACTAACCAATACCAACTGGACCTTCTAGTACTATTAATTTAGTGTTTTCATCAAAGCGTTTTGTTGTGTGATCTATAAGACTATCAAGTAAACTATAGTTTTTTTCCTTGTAGGGAAACGGTGCTGGTTTCTTCACTTCGAGTCCAATTGAAGCTCGTAAAGTCTTGCTGGAAATACTTCTTTTAAATGCATGCATTAATGGTGTACAAATGAATAATTTATTAGCAAAGTTTAAATTAATCATTTTGTAATAATTTTTACTTAATTTTTAAGACAAAAATGTTTAACATTCAAACATTTAGATTTTTTCTGAAAATCTTTTATCGTCTTATCATTTATCGAAAAACTTATTTAATATCTAAATTGAAATTAACTTTAAACAGCTGATTATCCTTTATAAGAAAGTAGATGGCGCTGTATTATCATATTTCGAGCTGCTGTTTCTTTAATTTTAATTTATCTTCCACCATTCTACGAGTATTTAGATCCATAGCCTTAATATTGCCCTTCGCCCCTTCACCCCTTCTTCACTATTGCATCATTCCAAAAATCGTACTCGCAGAAATTATACACGTTAGCCGTCGCACACACATAAGCAAATATACAATACGAAATACATTCTACTAAGCAGTTATTAGACTTATTATCACTTTGCATTATACGTGTAATATCAACAGCTGCCACTCGCACTCGTTTTACGTAATCGCTATTGGTAACTCAATGTTTTATTAATAATATTTTATCGCGCCAGTAGACAGTATAGTGTGTGTTGCCCGTCTCGACAGCTGGCATGATGTGCATGGTTTCTAACATTCACAGTGAGCAAGTAATTATAAACGTGACAAAACGCCGCAACAACGTCGAAATTTACGGGAATTTTCATCGACCGCCTTCTAAAAAATCAGATTATACTACTGACGCTATTTACACACGGATACGACAATGCCCCGAGGAAAACGTAGACCACAAAAGACCGCATTAGGTAATTCTTTTAGAATAATAATCTAATATTTATTCAATTTATGCTATTTTTATTAAATAATAAAATTATTAATTCTATTTTAATTAAAAAATAAATGTAAATACCTATTCCGTGTTAAGTGATATTGAACATATCTAATTAATAAATGATGACAAGTAATTTTTTTTAATACTTAGAAATTGATACCAGGAAATTTATGTGCTTAAAAGTAGTGGGGAAATGCTACGTATTATTTATTTAGTTCTTAACCATAAGAAATAATTTTACTTGATGTATAGTTTTTTTTAAATGTAGACACATGTACTAAACATAACCCTGAAAAATAATACTAGACAGAAATCAAGGTCCATTTATTCATTATATAATATTAATTTAATAATTCACTCCTTTTTTTCGTCATTATGCAAAAATAGGATTAATGGTAAAAAAATTTTTTATAGATGTATTATCAAGTAAAGTGCGTGATCTTGACGTGTCGGATGATGAATCATATAATGATAATGCAAGTATAATCAGCAATGCATCATGTAGTACATCAATTGATGAACGCTCATGTAAGTAATTGTAATTTTCAAAATAAAATTTTATTATATTTTCTTTTTTTTAAGTATGATATTAAAGATTTAAATAGTGCTAATATGATTTATACTTTTTACGTTTTTTTTACTTCAATAATTTTATTTATAATTTAGAAAAATACTAAATTAATAGTATTAAAGTTATTACTGTTATATATTCTTAATTATTATTATTATTTTATTTTTTTACTATACACTCTTTATTAAATTAATTGTTTATAATAAAATAGAAAATAAAAGTGTCATCAAAAGCTACAATTGTGTTTAAGTTAATATATAAATAAAAAATAAGATGTACTCTTATATATTTTTAATAAACAAAACTCTTTTTAGGTGTACCAACAGATGATAATGATGAACAATCTTTAAGTGATGCTTTTGAAGAAAAGTTATCAGAGGCCATTGATGGTCTGTCACAAAAATCTGCACAAGGTCGTACATCTAGCTTTGAATCTATTTGCAATGTTTTCTGTAAAAAATATATACCAGATTTCATATTAAACAGGTACTTTTTCTTAACTAGTTTAATTAATTTCAAAGTTTATATTTTGAATAATTTTAGGCGTATGACAATTACTGATTCTATTGAACGTGCTTTAAGGAAAGGTGGAGATAATGAAAAAGCAGTTGCTGCTAACTTATCTTGTCTTTTATGTATACAATTAGGCTCAATTGATGTATCAGAAAACGTGTGTCAAGAATTATTACCTACATTAATGTTTGTTGCTAATGATGAGTCTGTACCTTTACTTGCAAGAGAAAAGGTATTGTTTTAGTTGATCAACTAGTCATTGAATATAATTTTTTTTGGTTATTGTTTATAGTGTTGTTTAGCAATTGCATTGTTAACATTTATTGCATATAATGAAGAAATTGATTCAGCAATGCAATTATTCCGTAACCTTTGGGCACGTTTAATTCATTCATCTACTGTTTCTGCGCCTGCAGCAACACTTTACTCTACTGCCTTGTCTTCTTGGTGCTTACTTTTATCTACAATATCAATTAGAAATTCTACTATTTTACCGTAAGTAATTTTTAATTTAAAATATTCCATTGGGACTAAGCTAAATGATATAAATAAGTTGTAATTTAGGTAGAAATTCAGTATAGAAAAGTTTTATTACAATATTTTGTTGTTTTTTATTTTTTTTTTTCAACTATGATAATCAAGGCAATATTTAAATGAGGCTCTTGAATTATAAGTGTTAATTATATCTACACAATAATATATAATGTATATTAATATATTTTGTGTTAAGATCAATGAAGAAATTTGAACCTACAATTCCATAGGCTATGCAACCTTAGCTCCCCCTTAATCCTATCTTATATGTAGAACAATATACATTTCTGAATATTGTTTTACTGTAATAAAAATGTTAAACTTGCCAAAAAATATGTTTTAGGTATTTTTAAGTTTCTATATCTTACTTGAGATTATATGAGTTTTTAAAAAAATTTAACATTTTATTAAATGCGGTAATTAAGTAAAAATTTACTTCTACTAATAATATATTTATATTTCCAGAACTCTTTCTGAATTAAGTTTACTCCTAGACTCGGCATATTTAGAAGTTAGAATGGCTACTGGTGAATTATTAACTGTTTTATTAGAAATGGTACGAGAGTGTGAAGACATGGATGAATATGAGCCAGATGAAGAGCTCATTTCTAAATTACGTGAACTAGCTACTGATTCACAAAAATACAGAGCCAAAAAAGATAGAAAAACCCAAAGATCTAATTTTAGACAAATTCTTCACTATGTAGAAGTATGTTACCTGTTACTTAAACTTAAAACTTAAATGTCTTACTAATTTAAAATATATATATATATATATGAATAGTATATTAATAAATTATTTAAAAAATACTTTTTAATCTTTATGCAATGATTCTTTATGTAATATGCTAAAAAAATATCTATGTTACTTGTATTTCTTACATTTGGGTAATATATAATTTATTGTAATGATATTAAGATCTAATATTATGTTTGAATCATTCGTTTAGGCGAATAATACAGCATAGAAAAAAATAATGAAACATTTATTGTCTAAATATTTAAGTGAACCTGTATAGGATAAACATTTTGCATAAAATTATTATTTATTTTATTTAATAATTTTATATGCAATATTTTTAGTTTGATGAACCACCCAATATTCAAGTTCGATTTGGACAAGAAATATTATCTATGAATACATGGACCAAAAAAAAAGAATATGATGTATTATGTCAAGCATTAGGTTCTGGCATGAATATGCATATGACTGAAAATGATCTTGTGCGTGATATATTAAATTTAGGTCCTAAGCTATGCCAAACTAAGTTATTAAGTAATAAACAGTCCAAAATGGAAAGAGTAAGTAAAAATCACCAAAATAATATAGTGGATTACTTCTTAGTATCTCACTAAATAAAAATACCTAAAAATATTTTAGCAACAAATTAATGCAGCCAACTTCAAAGTACGCACAAAAACAAGAGGAAAAGTACGAGACAAACGAATTGCTACAATTGACTAAAATATTATTTACTTTACATTAGATAAAAATAAATAAACAAATAATAATATTTATTTAAGCATGAATGTGATAGATATGTTAATTTCTATTTATATCATTAAATTTTCTTCTAAAACTGTAAAAAATTATTTATGATAATTGTTAGGAGTTTTCTTAAGTTGTTATATTGAACCTCCATTAATGTCATTCAGTTAAAATAAAATAAAAATTTTACTAAAAATAAAGTAAACTGACAAATTTAAATTTAATTAGAATTTTTATTTGTTAGTTATTTATTTTTTTAATAAAAACATAAGTTATAAGTGCATTATGATAGTTCATTTGATTTACCTAGTGTTCTATCGTAAAACTGCTTCTTGAAATATGCTGTAATGATGAATTTCCCATACAATTGAAATATTCAAGAGAGAAAAATTTTTTTGTTAAATTGAAATTTGTTCAAATAAAAGTTGGTAGGTTGGAGAGTTAAGACTAAACATTTGTGTTAAAAATAGGTCTATTAAATGATAGTTTCATGCTAATAATAAACAGTAGAGACAGTTAAGAATTCTATAATATTGAATCAATTAAAGATTCCTCCATGAGGTCGAATTTATCCTTTCCCACGAAAAAATTTCTAGTTGCATTGAAAAAGTAATGAGAATTTTTCATTGCAGTAAAAAATACATTTAAAACGCTACATTTTAATGTTATAACAGAAATTTTTATTTCAATTATATTCCAAATTGAGACTGAAAAAAAAATTGTTTTATTAAAAATCAACAAATAATCTGATCTCTATTTCACTATAAAATTTGGCTTAATGGTATAAATGCTCTACCATTATATTCTAATGACATCTGATAGATTATTGATTATATAATGCACATTTTTATTATTTCAATGCTACTACGTTAAAAGTACTTCATAAGTGGTACATAACTAAAGTTAAACTAAAAAATAATTTTAAACTATCTTTTCTGTAAAAATGTAATAAATACCAATTTTAGCTTCGATGCGAAGCTGAGAAGGTATTAATTTTACTATGATGTGTTTTTTTTTTTTTTTTTTTTTTTGTGTCTGTGAACGCTCAATCTCAGCTCTCGCTGGACCGATTTTGATGAACAATATGTCAAAAGATCACAAATCGTATCTAGTCGAAGACATTACCCTCAAAAATTGAAAAAAATTCCCTCGTTCCCCGTAAACGGGGGAAATCCCCCAAAAAATTACAAATTTAAAAATCGCTAATTTTCGATATTTTTTCAATTTTTTTTACTTAAAATTGCCATAACTTTTTTAAAAATGACCGAATCAATATAATTTTTTTTTTTATAGATACCTTAGATAATTACCTATCATTTTATATATTTTTGTGAACATTTGACCCTTTAACAGCCCAAAGGATGGGGTTTCAAAATGGTAACTTTTTTACAAAAAATTAACTTTTTCAACTTAACTTTTGAAAATGTTCCGGAAAGACTGACAATTTTATATATACCTTAAATTAAAGCTAATGTAATATACTTTAATTTGAAAAAAAAAAATTTGACCTCTGGACTTGTCTTCATGGTGAAAATGACTACCGTATGCAAAAATATGCTATTTTTGTGAAAAAATTCTTGATATTATATTTTACATTTTTTAACATTATGTTGCTATAACTTTTTAAAAAATGCATGAATCAACTTTATTCTTTAATGATAAATACTTTATATATACTTCTTTCATTCGACATACTTTTTTTTAAAATCGGACCATTTCCCTTTATACAGGGGGGGTGCAAACCTTTTAAAATGCGTATAGAAAGTAGAACTTTTTCAACTTAACTTTTGAAAATGTTCCGGAAAGACTGACACTTTTATATATATCTTAAATTAAAGCTTATGTAATATACTTTAATTTGAAAAAAAAAAATTTGACCTCTGGACTTGTCTTCGTGGTGAAAACGGACATCAAAGTTAAAGAAAAACGTACGATTTCCGTGAAAAAAATCTCGATTTTATATGTTATATTATTTAATTTATATTTTATATAACTTTTGGAAAAATGTATGGATCAATATTATTATTTTTTTATAATAAATATTTATATACCCCTTTCATCTGGCACGCTTTTTTTGTAAATCGGATCATACCCCTTTAACAAGGGGGGTCAAAACTTTAAACATGCGTATTGTTACTAAGATATTTTCAATTTAATTTTTGAAAGTATTCCGGAAATACTGACACTTTTAAATATATCTTAAATTAAAGCTTATGTAATATACTTTAATTTGAAAAAAAAAAATTTGACCTCTGGATTTGTCTTCATGGTGAAAACGGACATCAAAGTTAAAGAAAAACGTACGATTTCCGTGAAAAAAATCTCGATTTTATATGTTATATTATTTAATTTATATTTTATATAACTTTTGGAAAAATGTATGGATCAATATTATTATTTTTTTATAATAAATATTTATATACCCCTTTCATCTGGCACGCTTTTTTTGTAAATCGGATCATACCCCTTTAACAAGGGGGGTCAAAACTTTAAACATGCGTATTGTTACTAAGATATTTTCAATTTAATTTTTGAAAGTATTCCGGAAATACTGACACTTTTATATATATCTTAAATTAAAGCTTATGTAATATACTTTAATTTGAAAAAAAAAAATTTGACCTCTGGACTTGTCTTCGTGGTGAAAACGGACATCAAAGTTAAAGAAAAACGTACGATTTCCGTGAAAAAAATCTCGATTTTATATGTTATATTATTTAATTTATATTTTATATAACTTTTGGAAAAATGTATGGATCAATATTATTATTTTTTTATAATAAATATTTATATACCCCTTTCATCTGGCACGCTTTTTTTGTAAATCGGATCATACCCCTTTAACAAGGGGGGTCAAAACTTTAAACATGCGTATTGTTACTACGATATTTTCAATTTAATTTTTGAAAGTATTCCGGAAATACTGACACTTTTAAATATATCTTAAATTAAAGCTTATGTAATATACTTTAATGTGAAAAAAAAAAATTTGACCTCTGGATTTGTCTTCATGGTAAAAATGACTACCGTATGCAAAAATATGCTATTTTTGTGTTAAAATTCTGGGTTTTGTATTTTATTTTATTTTAAAATACCTGACAAGGGGAGTACAGATTTTCATAAATATTATATAAATTAAAATTGATATAGTATAGATAGTTAAACTTATTTAAATATGTTTGTTTCTTTTAAGTCGAGAAAAATAACTTTGAAATTTGAACTAGCTTAAATAGCCAATTTTTCAACCGCCGGAAGCAACGTACGGTTGCCGAGTTGGTAAAATTTATGTTTTACACGCTTGGGGTACGAGGTTCCAACCCGCATATGGCAATGAATTTTTTGCATTTTTTCTTAATTCTTTTTAAGTTAGTATAAATTTTAACTCGTTTGATTTTTATCACATTTAGATTCAATAACTTCAATAAAGATCAAGGATCCCATCACTTTAGTCGCCCCTTGCAAGAAGAAATTTCTTATTCGTATTAAAATTATTTTACTATATTTTAAGTTTTCGCTTCGATGCAAAGCCGAGAAGATATTTTTTTGTGACTATCATTTATTTTCTCTGCTCTAACTTGACCTACTTTTTTCAACAATACGTCAAATTACTACAATTCGTATCTAGTTGAAGATATTACTCTCAAAAATTGAAAAAAAAATTCTAATTTATCAATTAAACAGTTAGTTATTACATCGTCTCCATAAAGACAATTAAAATCATTAATTTCTAATGTTTTCAAAATATTTATTAACGAATGAAGTTTGATATGATAGGTTTCAACTACAAAATTAAATCATTTTACTTTGTAATTTAATAATTTTATTACTCTGTTTGTGTGTGCTACTATTAGACTATAATATTCAAATTTTTTTCTAACGTGTTGCTATATAAATCATTTCTAAAAAAAATGATTGTTTTTTCTCCTGAATTAACAATTGATTTTTACAAATATAATCAAATTTTATAATAAACTCAATTGAGTAAATCTTTTTAACAACTTTGTTTTGATTGGTACATTTAGTTAAAGTAAATCATTAAAATTAATTAAGTTCTCAATATTTCAATTATAGAATCTTTTCAACAAACAACAAAAGTTCCTAGGAAATTATTACTATTACTTCTATTTAAGTTATCTATTACCATAAAAATGCAAAAAAATATTGAGCTTTTCTGATAAATTTACAATAAATAGTAATTATAAAACTTTCTGACTGCATATTGATCTTAACGATACAATTTTTTTAATTGTCATAAAATTTTCTATTTAATTATGTCAATGTCAAACTTACCAATTGAGCTAAAAGTTATGGTAAAATAAATTTTTTTTTTTTTTTATAAACATTTACAACAATCAACTTTAAACGATTAACAAAATTGGTTAAATATGTCATTTTCCTTATTTTTAACTTATTAATAATCAAATTAATATTAAATATTATATCAAATCAGTATTAATTTAAAACAATTTTTTTTGTTCTTAATTATTTTTTTTTATATGTAAAAACTATTTTTTAATAATATTAAAACTTAGAAGTTATAGAAAAAGTCTAACTGCACATTTTAAAACATCGCGAAAAGTTGATTTAGAATAGTACATTTTTGTTTCTGATGGAAGTTCCTTGTAGTCCAGTGTATAAAACTTATAACTTTATCAAAAATGACCAAATCAGTATATTTGACCAAATCAGTATATTTTTTTTTATTTAGATGCATGTCTTTATCTATCATTTGGTTTTTTTTATAAATCTAACCCTTTACCTGCCCACAAGAGGGATTCAAAATATTAACTTTTTTTTTTTTAGTTAAAGTAAATCATTAAAATTAATTCAGTTCTGGATATTTCAATAGTAGAATCTTTTTAAATATCAAAAATTACTTAGAAATGATTACTATGATTTCTATTTAAGTGTTCTATTACGATAAAAATGCAAAAAATAATGAGTTTTTCTGATAAATTTACAATAAATAATAATTATAAAACTTTCTGACTGCATATTAATCTTAAAAATAACATTGTTTTAATTCTCATAAAATTTTCTATTTAATGATTCATTCTAGTCAACGAAGGAGTAATTTTGCAGAATAGCAGAAAAAATTCCCAACAAACTTTTTTTTTTTTTGTTTTAATTAGGCAATTGGTGGATTATTCCAAAAGCAACATCAACTCTTATTTCTTTAATTATATCATGATTAGTAGTTCTTTGATTTTAAAATATAATATTTGAATATATACTAATTATAATTATTAAATTTAGTATGAAATTGATATTTAATATTGTAATT